TGAGGATATATCAAAGAAAGAATACGGGCATTGTAAACATAGTTGTGAAATTGTAAAATGTCTTTTTGAGATATAATCCAAGGTATCTAAATGGTGAGCCAATGGTCTTGGTATTGCATAGAAAAATTGCATTTTCTCCCTTATAACAAATAAGAAAAAGCTCAAAATTGGAGTGATAGTCAATCAATACTAGATAAGTATAACCCTAAAGTTTCACAACCGTAGATCAAGTTATAGTGAAGATATATAACTTCAAACTAAGATCAGATTTTTTTCACATGAGCTAACGAAGAAGCGAGTGCCCATGATGAACGGCTATATATTGTATGGTTTTCTTTTTCAATTTCTAATATGTTTCTTAAAAAAGCAAAATATACCAAAAGATGCAGCATGAGAAGCGCTACAATCTACAATGGAAAATTTATTTTGTATATGGCCCTTTAGTGTTCAAAATAGATAGATTTTTAAGTGAGCAAATTCTGATGTTGCGAAAAAGTAATTTTTTTATACATGATGAGGTCTTTTTTGTTTATTTTCTCTTTTCATCATTTTCATTCATTTTGGACACTAAAGAACCATATATAAAAGAAGCTCTCTATTGTAGATTGTAGAGCTTTTCATGCTGCATCTATGGGTATATTTTTCTTTTTCAAGAAACATATTAGAAATTGAAAACAAAGCTATACAATATGTGGCCGTCCATCATGGACACTCGCTTCTTAATTAAGTCATGTGAAAAAAAATCTTCTATTAGTTTGGAGTTATATGTCTTCACTATAACTGGAGCTATCGTTGTGAAAATTTAGAGTGATACTTATCTAGTACTGATTGACTATCTCTCCAATTTTGAGTTTTTCCTTATTTATCATAAGGGAGAAAAAGGAATTTTTCTATGAAGTACCAAGATTTTTGGCTCACCTTTTATCTCTGATGGAAATAAGAGTCTGAATACGATGGAAGAAAGAAAACTCATTGATGCAATATTGATCATATATAAATTAAGTTAGTTTTCCTTGGTGATTTCGAATATGAGGTTCGTCTGAAGTCAAAAAAGGTTTATTGTACTCGAAAAGAATCGAATATTTATAGAAAAAGACGTAAATTGACTATCGAGGAAAGTGATTAGAGCAAAAGTGTTGTACTAGGCATCGAATTTCCAGCTGGAAATGATTTCATGAGAAAGTGCACATTGAATCACATAGTTGATAAAAACAAACTGCATGGTATACTTGAAGTAACTATAGATTAATAAAAATGCGAAAAATTATTCTCTGTAATAATACATCTCAATTGAGGTGATATTTGGCATTTATCGATACATAATCTCTTGAATGTCTAAAACATTCTTATAGGTTCTGACTGACGAGGGAACTATCCCAAGTGTTAATCACCGATCGGGTTCATATTTTGTCCATAAGTAGAACTCGATGAGACTAGAAGAACTCTAAAAGAGTTCATCCCCATACGTTGTCTTTCTCGAATTATGACCGTTTTACTGAGTTTTCGGCCTATGGCAAGGCATATATAAAAACATGGAATTGCAGAATTTTGACCTGAAATTTTGCCAATAGATAGGTCTCATAGTCATTCGATAGTCCTAAAAATTTCAGCCCAAAAGAATATGCTGTTCGTGGAATATCGAGTGTTGAAGATCGTTAATTTTCTGAACTTTCGTTGTAACACATGATCACTTTTTGTATGTCCAATATCTCAAGAACAGCACATTCTTTTGAGCTGAAATTTTTAGGACTATCGAATGACTATGAGACCTATCTATTGGCAAAATTTCAGGTCAAAATTCTGCAATTCCATGTTTTTATATATGCCTTGCCATAGGCCGAAAATTCACTAAAACGGTCATAACTCAAGAAAGACAACGTATGGGGATGAACTCTCTTAGAGCTCTTCTAGTCTCATCGAGTTCTACTTATGGACAAAATATGAACCAGATCGGTGATTAACACTTGGGACAGTTCCCTCGTGAGAAAAAAACTTCTGCATGAAATTAACCTATTTTCGGCGAATCTGATTCGAGTTTTAATGGACGTTCAGGTAAAAAACTGGTTTTTAAGGCTTCGAGAGAGTGCTTCAGATATTTCTTATTATGCGAGTGCTTTGGAATAAAAATGTGATATTTGTTATCAGCATACTGAATGCTATCGAACTCTGAAGAATTCTAGTAGAATGAGGATTAAAAAGTTTTTTCAAAACTTAAGGAGAACCCTAGATGTGGAAAATATGAGTTATGAGAAAGTACAAAATCAACTAGAGCAAAATAATTAAGATTCAATTCATTGGATCTTAGATGTCGTTCTATTGCCTAATCTCTCATAAAAAATTCTTTGTCTCATTAGTTTATCTCTATGTTTTTCAAGATAAATGATTTACTTATCTTTATTTTCTAAAGTGACACTGGGGTGGATGTGAGTGTGGGTGTGTGGGTGGGTGTGGATAGGTGTGGGATATGGGCATGGATGTGAATGAAAAGAGGACCGACATCCAGAACTAGACATATCCACCTCCACACCTACTCACGTTCATACTCGTACTCAAATATGAGTTTGAAATGATTGGTAAAATTAAAATGTGTAAATAGTCTAGAAATTTAGAACGTACGTACCGAGCTCACTTTTTTGACCGAAGATCAGCTAAAGCACAGACCAAAACAATTAAAAGATTTGTTTGAAATATAGTAACACAACAAATAAAGCATTTTATCATTTTTTGAATATTTGGGGAAAGTAACTATCATCAATTACAGTTTCTTTATTGTTCGTATTTTCTATGACTTTAATGAAGCTGAAAGAGGTTTGTGAGTTTCAGATTTTCGACGTACTACAAGGACAATTTTTTGACTAACCATTAAATTCTTTCCTTTCGTCCTTGTTTTTTTTTGTTCCAGATAACAAAAGTATCTGTAGAGTAACTGATACATTCGAATATTGGACAACAAAAGCATATTTTCAGAGGATGAGTGACAACAATTATATCCGTCTTCAACGTGCAAACCCTCGACTACTGATTCCAGATTTAGAAGATTCAGAAGATTCAAAAACATTAGGTCCTATTATTGGTTATGCTCAAGAGCCACTTCTTTCACTCGCTAAAGCATGTGAACCGTTGGTTTCAGTTGTCGATCATATATCCGGCTGTATTACAGAAGCTCTGGCCAATACTCCGGATGATCCAGCCGATGGACTAACTCGCGATGAATCGGCTTCGATTCGCCTCTACACGATGGAATGGACTGGCGAATCCAGAAGTCTCTATTCCATTCTTAACCATACTCTCAATACAGCTGATCGCGAAAGTTTACGACCATGGTTTAAATACCTCAAACTTTTTCTTACTGCCTTAGCCAGAATCCCATGTGAGCCTCCGACGATCGTCTGGCGTGGAGTGCGAAAAAACATTAGTGACGAATATCCACTTGGACGTGAAGTGATATGGTGGGGTTTTTCATTCTGCACAACATCGCTTTCTGTGTTAGAGAACGATCTCTATTTAGGATGCTCGGGTGAGAGAACTCTGTTTTCTGTGGAAGTTTTGAACGGCAGAAGCATACGTGCTCATTCTGCTTTTGACACTGAAGATGAAATTTTATTGTTACCCGGAACGTGCATGGAAGTGCAATCAAAATTTGATCCTGCAATTAAGCTCGAATACATTCATTTAAAACAAAAGACACCGAAGGAAATATTACTTGAACCTCCATCTAAAGGTCTTTTCAACTTCAACAGTTTTTTGTTTTGAATTAAAATATGCATATGTTTAGGTGCATGTCTTTATCCAAAAATTTCGACACCGACGTCAAAACATTATTGGTATCGGAAAAAGAGATTCTTCATTTCAATCAGCTTCCTGATACTTGTGATCGTACCGGCCGCCGTTCTCGGTGGTGTTTTGGGATCAAGATCTATCAGCAACGCCTCGACTAAACGTATGCTTTCTTGTTAAATATTTGTCTAAACTCAAATCAGAAAGAGTATGTTATTTCTGTCCTCACCACGTCTTGACAAGTTTCTGTTGAAACTTGTACCTATTTATGGTAAAATACCCATTGAGGGAAAGTCATACTTGGGATTTCGAAAGAAACGGAAGTGCAATGTTTTCTTCAGTTTCAAAAAAGTATTATTTTAAAACTCAAAAATATCTTATACAATATAAGATTGTAAGTAGTGATGTAAGCCGAAGGATTAAACTGTAGAGGCTTCAATCTTTGAAATCTTTTTTCATGCGATGGTAAATTCTGCTTTCCAGGAAATTCAAATAAAGTGACTATAGGAGAAATTTCATGGAAATTGAATCGAATGGTTGTAAAGAAAATCGTAGAAAAATCTTCTAATGGAACTAGGGGTGAGAAAGTTATTGTTATTGTTATTGTTATTAATAACAATAAAATTAACTTTTTGATTCAAAACAATCAATGAAATAATTCTAAGCATAGTTTGTGCGAACATCAAAGGATCACTTTAGTAACACAGTGTCTTTTCTTACCACTTGATATAGAAACTTCTGGTGAATATTTTGAGAAATTTCAAAATAACGATACCAAAATATGTTATTTTGAAATTTCTCAAAATATTTACCGCAGATTCTTGTATCGAATGGTAAGAAAAGATACTGTATTACTAAAGTGATCTTTTGACGCTCATACGAACTATGCTTAGAATTGTTTCATTGATTGTTTTGAATCAAAAAGTTAATGTTATTGTTATTAATAACAATAACATTAACAGTAACTTTCTCGCCCCTAAATGGAACAGAATATAGAAGTAAAGTTGAAGTCTAAGTTAGGTTTGGGTCGGGTCGGGTTGGGTTGGTTTGGATCATAAAATAAAATCCATTATGGTCTGAAATATGTATAGAACAGAGGTTGAAGATTAAGTTAGGTTTGAGTTGGATAAGGTCGAGTTAAGACATATAATGAGTTCAAAGAGTATCCCCGAAAAGTCAATTAAATGTCTGGAAACCTTTTTGTAGGAGGTATAGGAAGTATATAACTCATCCCTCTCGATATCCAGTCAAAAAAATACGCCTGTACTCAAATTAATATCAAATCAAATTGCGTTGAAAATCGACACAAATAATATATCTTTCATAGACTTCAACAAATGAAAAATCAACTGTAGTCAAAAATAATCAGAAAACATGCAAATTCAACCGTTTTCTTTACATTTTATTCATTTAAAACCGATAAAAATTTAAAAGAGGATCGATCACAATGCATTCTTGGTACACATATTTTAATCTCCTCTAACCAAAAATATACGGGAAATACAAATAATTTCCGCCGTATTTATTGGTTTCCATTAGGGCCGAACTGTAGTATATGAAAAGTCGACAAAATTTAAACGATTTTAAGCTTTTTTTTGACCACTTTTGTGAAACTCACATATATTTTCGAAGAAAATAGTGAGTGTAAGTTTTAAGTTCGACGTTTCATGGCTCCTCCCCCTCCCCTTACAAACAGGCCACCATTACAGACCGTAGCAACGAAAGAGAACATTACAGACATACCCTGCATTACAGACCATAGCAACGTAGGCTTCCATCCCTAGGGAAAATCTTTGATATTTCAGAGCCAGATCCTTGCCGATCTGACAAGGATCCTGCACGGATTCAACGTTTTTTCTCGAGGAAACGGCAGATTCCTGAACGAAGTGTGTAGCCAGAGAATTTCAAGATCCTGCCAGGATTCATAACAAGATTTTTAAGGATCTTGATAGGTTTACCATTGTTTTTGAATCAGGATTAGGCCAGGAAACCAACAAATCCTGAAAGAAGTGTGTAGCCAGGGAATTTCAGGATCTGGCCAGAATTTAAAACAAGATTTTCTAGGATCTTTCCAGGTTAATATCAAGATTTCTCTAGGATCCTTTCAGAATTTTTACAGTTGTTATTAAAATTTTTTCAAGATACGTTCAGGATGATATCTAATGTGGCCACCCTTCCGTCAGACTATCACGTAGGAACCTGTTAGGAATCTGCTGCAAGTAAAGGCTTAAGACTTGTTAGTGTATATTCACAAGAGTTAAACTTACCGGCGTCGTGGCAGGATTGTGTGAGAATCGCAGCAGGATTTTCCAAACAGAACAAATCAAATGTGAACACATAGAGCATTGATCTCTAGACCTTCAGTTCATGAACTGAACAGCTAACCTAGCTGGACTGTGTTCTCGTTTAGAAACAATTCAAGAAGTCACTTTTATGTTTCCTTTCTTTTCCATTTTTTATTCCTTAACAATTTCCCGATTTGAAATTTGATAAATTTATTTAAAATTTATTCATGATTTGGTTAATTCTATGTATCAAATTTGTTTTGTTATTCTTATTTTTATATCATTTTTTAAATTCGAAATTTGAAAATTGATTTTTTTTAATTATTTGATAAATTCAAAATATGATTAGTTTATATTTTATTAACTATTTTGATGACTGTCGCTATCCAAATTTTCATAAATTTGTTTTTTTTTCATTCACTCAATTTAGAATAATACGAGTAAATTTTTATTAAGCATTCATCATTAAGTCGATTCAAACATATAATAAACGTGGTTTTTATTTTTTTATTTAATTATGTTCATACGGACATGGATAGCTAGTGAGAATAATAGAGTCATCACCAAAAGGAACAGAGAAACAACGAGAACGTAAAGAAGCTACAGGACAAACATCAACATTATCAGATTCAATTCAAATTTCGTAATCGTTATTCTTGAAGAGTTCTGAGCAAGATCTTGATTAAATCTTGGCAAGATTCTCATTTCAGTCATCTTACCTTAGATTTGAAAGGATCTTCAGCCGGGGTAAGTACAACTCTTAATAGGGCTCTCGTAGCAGACTCTAGGATATGACTAAGAATTACTAAAAGCTTAACTTAATCCTTTCAATAATTCTTGCTAGGATCCTGAATAAAATCTAAGATAAATCCTACTAGGATTCTGAAATTTTGGTTCAATAAAGAAGCTGAGCAGAAACTACACCGAATCTTCGAAGCAGTCCTCTTTCATTGTTGATAGAATTCCTGAAATATATATTCCTAAAGGATCTGTGCTTTTCCAAGAAATGGATACAAATGAATACACCAGATAGTAGCCTCCAAGGATCTTAGCCAGATCCTCTGAATTTCTTATTAAAATCCTGATTAGAACTGATATAAGTCTGAAAGCATATATTTTTGAAAAGTTCTGAAGAAGCTTCTAATCGGAACCTTCCAGGATCGCTGAGTTTCGTTTCATGATAGCTCCTTCATTTTCTTGCTCAGATCCTAGTCTGATATGTTAAAGAACCTGAGAGGATCTTGATGCGAAGATTTAGCTGAGATCTTCGTAGAAACCTGAACAAATCTTAGAAAAAATACTTCCTCATAACCTTTTCAGGCTTCTTCGAAGGATCTCGACGAAATCCTGACAGGATTCTTCATTGACAATTCAGAAAAAATATCTGAGCAGGAACTTGAAGAAATCCCGAACAGGATCCTGTTTCACCTTGAAAAATCCTGAAAACAGGAATTACTAGGATTCGAAACAGGACCCTGAATAAAACTTGTCAAGATCCCGTATATACAGGATCCTGAGAGGTCCTTCCTGGGTTTTTCAAAGAACGAATAGGAGTGAGACTAGGGTAAACAGAAACCTCGAAAGATCTTAACCGACTCCTCATCATTTCTTAGCAAGATCCTGATCATACTTGTAATTTTTTTAAGCATGTGAAATGCCTATTCTTGAACAGTTTCTCTCAGAAACTTGGTCCAAGTTTAGCAGGATTTCTTAGTTGAGTATTATAACTTATCTTCTTTCATTCCTGGTATAATCCTTCTCTGATACAACTATAAGTCTTGGCAGGATCCTTTTATCAGGATTCAGACGACATCCTCACTGAAACTGAATGAAATCTTGACAAAATTCTTTTTATTATTTTTGCCAGATTCCTGGACAGAATTATTAGTGAATCTTAATAAGGTCTAATAAACTCAATTCGGAAAAAATCCAAGCAAAAACTTGAGCAGATCCTAAATAGAATCCTGAATCAAACGTCGCAGGATCTTTGAAGTTTATGATGCTCAAAGATCCTTCAACTCTTTCTCAGGACATTGACATGAATGAGTAGATTAAACAATAACCTGTAAAGAATTTTTGCTAAATCCTCACATTTTCTTATCAAGATACTGATTAGGATCGATATTGTCCTGCAAAGATTGGAAACGCATATTCTTGAAAATTTCTGAACAAGATCCTGATTGAATTTTTGCAAAATTAGTCGACCTCATATTCTGACTGATCTTGTTATTTTCTTGCCAAGATCCTCGAATGATGTGACTATCAATCTTGTCAGGATCTCGATACAATGATTTGACCTAAGTCCTGACGAGAGCCTGATAAAATCTTGGCAGAATCCTTTCTAATAATCTTGAGAGGATCCTTGATAGATTCTTAGGTAAATCCTGATAGGATCCTGTAATCTCAACTGAGAAAAAATATTTGAGCAGGAACTTGAAGAAATCCTGAACAGGATCCTGTTTCACCTTGAAAAATCCTGAACAGGATCCTGTTTCACCTTGAAAAATCCTGGAAACAGGAATTACTAGGATTCAAAACAGGATCCTCAATAAAACTTGTCAAGATCCTTGAGCTTCAGGATCCTGAAAGTTTCTTTCAGGGTTTCCCAAGGATTGAACAGGTTTGAAATTAGGGATTACAGACCATAGCAACATAAGCTTCCATTACAGACCGTAGCTACTTCGTCAAAAAAACTTTCTGCTCGAAATATATAGGGCGTCCGGAAAGTCATTAAAGTTAAGAAAATTTTGAATATCTCCATGTTGGCTCGATCGATCGAGCTCATTTTTTTATCAATGATAGAGGCATGTTCACACTTTAAATCCATACGGACAAGGATACTGAGAATCTTTGTTAAGTATCACTATTGACCTCAACAAGAAAATTTTACTGTTTCACAGGTAGGAAAGAAACAGTATACAGGAAAATGCAAAAGATACTTTATTGAAAAGAAAATTGAATATCTCCATTACGGCTCGAGCAAACCAGTTGATATTCTCAGCAAGGATAGAGGCATATTCACAATCCAAATTCACACTGACAAGGTTAGTGAGAACCTTTCTTCAGTATATTGGTTTTTGTCCTATAGGTGAAAAAGTAAAATTTTCTTTTTGAAGTCAATAGTGATACTTAACAAAGATTCTCAGTATCCTTGTCCGTATGGATTTGGAGTGTGAACATGCCTCTATCATTAATAAAAAAATGGGCTCGTTTGGTCGAGCCATCATGTAGATATTCAAAATTTTCTTAACTTTAATGACTTTCCGGACACCCTATAAAGATTAAAAAGATAGCATTTTTCTAATAATCGATTGTCTTTAGAAAAGAGCAATTATCTTTTGGAGATTTAAAATACTGGGTATTTTGTGACTAGTTTAATGAAACCAAAGAAGATATGTGAGTTCCACATTTCAGCCCCAAAGGGGCTGCGCTAACAAGCTTTTTAAAACCTTTTCATCTGATCACAGGCATTTTCCTCAAAGGGTGCGAGCAACAAAGCGACACACATTACAGCTCTCTCAATGTGGGTGCCTAGAAGCGACTGACATCCCAATTCTCTCGATGTGGATGCCTAGAAACGACTCATATCACAGCTCTGTCGTTGCAAGTGTAAAGCAAATCTGATTCTTTATGAGTCGTGACAGGGAAGTATCACATGTATATAGATATACCTCCGATGCCTCCTACAAAAGATTCCCCGGAAGTTAAGCTAGTTTCCGGAGATATCGTTTGAACGCATCACTTCATCAAGTGCGTGATATGAAAAGAACTTTAAAACCAATAACAAAATAATCTGCTTCAATTATATATTGTATTATATTTTGAACAATAGTTGACCACAATGAGTGGATAAAATAACCAAAGTTTCAGCTCAATCTGCCATATCTTAACAGAACTACACATCAAACGAAGTAAAAAATTCTCTCGTAACATTTAGTGTGACAACTAGTTTTCAATATTCATTTCATATTTTATATCAACAAAAACGAAGCTAAATTTAATATCGTCTTTGACCACTTTTATCTCCCATTTATTCAATCTTCTTCAACCTCAACCCGATGAATTTTAGATGCGTCGTTATATGTCAAAGTCATTTGTAATCTAGCGTGACGGCAATTCCAGAATTGATATACATATAGTAGACAGAAAAAGGTTTCTTGAGAAATATTATGGAATAACTAATAAGTTTTATATCCAATAAGTGCAGACTGTTAGCTGTAAAATCATGAACTTTTCAAATTCAAATGAAGAAAAAGAACGAATGTGTAATATGGCATTTTCTTCTCGAAGGTGGCAGTAAAAATCGGATTATTTAACCTTGTGTTCCTAATATCTTCAGATTGTTCGGAGATAAATTTGCGCTTTTTCTGTGCGGTAGTGACAACTACCTAGAGAATCGTACTATAACAAATAACGGCCTCCAGACGTTTCGTCGCGATCATTCCGAACATCCGTCTTTGACACCGGATGTTGGGAATTGACACTTTAGTCCTACAACGGATGTTCGGAAAACCGTTTAAAAATTTTTACGAACATCCGTTATTTTCCGATGATCGTTTCGAACACCCGTATTTTTCTTATTACGAACATCCGATATTTTTATCTTAAAAGTAATGATTTTTTGAAGAAAAACGGATGTTCGGAACGAATTACGACATTGGATGTTCGGAATGAAAAGTAGCGACGAAACGTCAAAATGCCCAAATAACGAAGATTGAACAATAGGAACTTGAAATTTTAAGCTTTTACATATAAAAATACAACGGTACAATAATTTTGCAATTCACCCATGCATCTACAGATAGATATTCTTACTTGACTTAACCCAACCCAACCAGAAATTAAACCATATACAATGTATGTATAAAAATGCGTGTCACGATTCAACAAAAATTTAAATCACATATCTTTAATATTCACATTTTTGTATGAAGTAGTATGAGAACAAGTATATGTATACGAATGCAAAATGTGCCTCTATGTATGACATTTAGCTCTGAACACTGTCACATTAATACTGTTCCTTGCAATTATTCTGCATGTTAGGTGTAACCAATTTTGAATTTCCTGGAAAGCGGAATTTAACATGCCCTCTCTTTTTTCGACCTAGTGGTGGCTACAAAAAATATTATTCTTATGTAGAGATGGCGGTGGCTTAGTGCTCACCAAAAAGAAATAAATTTTATGGAACTCACTTGTATTTTTGTAGAAAAGAGTGAGTGTGAGTTTTAAGGTGAAGTTTTTTGCGGCTATCTCTCTCTCATAGCAACGTACGCCTTCCTTAAAAGCACTCCCCCCCCCCCCACCCCTACACACAGACCACTATTACAGACCTCAGCAGCCGCGCATAAAAGGCTTCAGATTCTATACAATATTTCCATGCTTTCATTATTATTTGAAAAAAAAACTATTTTTCAGTTTACAAATGATGTATTAGGATAACAAGTTTGAAGGATATACGTGAGGAGAAAGGGACATTTCGCACCAACTCTTCAT